TCTAAGCACAGATACAGAAGTATTACCATATTGTTTTGAGAAGCTATCAGATGGACTTCACAGCGATAGCAAAATCAAAATGAAGGAAAGACATTTCTGTTACGCCAGGACCGTAGGTGGAAAGAAAGGGCACAGCGGAATAATTGGCCTCAGAGTCCAATTAGCGGTGAAGATTACTGAGTTTATTATGTGATTGGGTGAAAACAGCAGGCAGCTGAGATGCGCAGGAGAAGCAGTCAGATCTGGGCTGGAGACAGGAGGGGATGATAGATAGTTAGCGAGTGGTAGCGTTGCAACGGAAGGCTGTGAATGGGGGAAAAAAACTATAAAGTAACTATAAAGTAACTCCTGGAAAACCTAAAAACAAAGAACAAACACACACTCTTCTTAGTCAACTCAATGTCAGAACACTTTTAATAGTGTGCAAGGTTCTTAACGAGGTTGATAAGCCCGGCCTGATCTTGTTAGCGATGGCCCTGATGAACTCCTTGCACATGTGGAATGCGCTGTGGTGATTGAGGGTGCTCATACAGGAGCACTGGGGCTCGTCAGGGCATCTTGTCCGACAGGTGTATGAACATTTAGATTTACATTAGTACAGGTACTCTAAATACAATAGAAATATGTATGCTTGTCATTAAGATCACCTTGTACAACAGACATAATAGTACAGAAATGCATGTCAAAACTATTTAATTAGGTCAACTTGAGAAGAATAAAAAACATTGTTAAACGGTTCTCTAAGCAATCCTGTTTCTTTGTCACTCTGTCAACAGCATCAACTGGTCAATGTACCAGCAAGATTTTAAAAAGAAAATGTACAAATTCATGGATATAAGAACATTAATGGGGCTAGAAAACTACATTGGAAGGTAAAGAGTCCACAGGATAGAAGTATCCTCTATCATTCTTCAGCTGGCACTTTTTAAGGTTGAACAAATGGAAGTTTTTAACTGATGTTTGGAAAGGATAATATTAGATAAGCCAATCTCACCCACCAGTTTTAAATCACAATCAATGGCAATTTCCTCTGTATATTAATCTCACGCTAACACCTCTTCTTGCATTTTTGTTGCTCAATTGTTGTTTCATCTACAGTTCATCAATGCTTAGACTATGCTCCAAATCATAACAAATACAGCTACAAGTGCTCCAAAAAACAGAAGGAAGGAAAAAAATATTCAACTTATTGTTCCAAAGTAAAGTATTATTCAACATATTAAGATTTAGATTGAATAAACCAAAAATGAACAAATTAAACAACCAAAAAGACAGAACGAAAAGAGAACTTCTACATGTGTCTGCACAACTTCTCAGACTGAACAAACAAAACAAAGTGAGACAGGAGGAAAGAAATTCAGTGCTTGTCCTTTTTAAAAATATCCCTCCTAACTATGGAACTCTAGACCTGCTGTTCCAACAAAGAGCTTTCTGACTTGCCCATGAATCTCAAAGAATTCTTAAGAATCAGCTCACTGTTTTGTCTTCCTGCACTCCCACATCTCCCATTACTGCAGTCTCACTATATCAAAGACTGGACTCTAGGTACTGAAGGTTGCAAAGAACTCTCTGCATTCATGGCATTCCCTTCAGAAAAGAAAACACAATTTATTTCTCTCACCCTCTCTGGGGCCCATAACAAGTAAGCTCAGTCCTCCAGCATACAAATACTTCCACCTCCAGTGATGATGTCGCCCAGCACTCAGCTAGACTCCAGTTATCAAGATGACACTTGGCTTGCCCCTACTATGACCCCCAGGACCTTCCATTCAACCTTGTCCCCCTATTTCTGTTTCTCTTAGTATTCCCTCTTCACTGTCTCTTTTTGTTATTTCTTGCTTTTGGTTTATTATCCTGGCTGTTTCCACTTTTCTCTCTTTTCTGTAATTAATTTAACCCCTCTGCTTCCCCTCCACTCTCTTTTGCTTCTATTCCTAGCAACCAACATGGCCCAATTGCAACATCTTTGGAGCTCTCGGCCCACGTTTCCAATCTCACAGCTACTACTACTGCTTCTGACGCCATTGCCTTGGTTACTGAGGTGTCCTACCCCTGACTCATGCTTCAGTCAGCAGGCGTCCTACTAATGTCTACTAATGTGCTACTTCTGTCTTTGTCCATGGGCCCAGGACTTTGATGTCTTCCTCCTTGGGTTCTTCCTAAAGACAATTCCTTGGCACCATGTCATACATTTGGCTCAGTAAACAGGTGTCCTACCATTGACATTTTCCTTTTGTGAAGTATACTGAATCATCGTTGTCTTTCTTTGGGGGTCTCAATTTGAAACAAAAGGCAGTTCTTAAATGCCACTCTCAATTTAACCTATATTTAAATAAGATTTCAGGTGAATAGCTACGTCAGCATGCATAGTCTACAAAGGAACAAGTAAGAGGTTTATTCTATGCTGAGATGCTTTGGTTTATTCCAAAAGAGAATGCTAAATACACAACATTTTGGCTGTGAAGCCTTCTTCAGGTGTGAGCCCTCACGTTGTGTTTCACAGCCAAAACTGTTTTTTCTCTTCTCTTTTCAGCATGGAATAAACCTATTACTTGTTCATTGTTAAATAATATTGATTATATTCTTTCTAGATTTTAACTTCTCTCTTTGTTAATGAGAAAGGCCTCACCCTGTCCTGACTTCCATCTCTGTGAAATTTGAACAAAAATCTATATTCTCCACAGAAATATTGTTGCCACTCATTTTGAATTGGTGCTTCTCAGCGGTTCTGATGCTTGCATGTCATATGCTCTCTTGAAAACGTTGCGTTCTCCTAGTGCCTGCTCCCACCTCTCTGTTTAAGCAATTGGTGGATTTGGGGTCAACTTGCTTGATTTTTGGTGTCCCAGCTTCCACATCCTATATCTAGCAGGTGAAGCAAAAACGTATTATACTTAAAATACTCAATAAGCATTCACAATATATCTTATTCTTGGATTTGTTATTCTTCATGGAGTGAAAGTTCTTAACTGACATTAGGAAGGGTAAAGAAAAGACAAGTCAAACTCACCCAGCTGCTTTAAATCACAATCATTACCAATGTGTGCTTTATATATATAACTCTTGCACACCCCTCTTCTCACAACTTTTGCATTCAACCTGCCTCTACCCCATTTCCACCTTTGCCTGCTGCTCCTTGCTTAACTCCTCTGTCTAAGCCAAAACTTATTACAGTAGAGGTCTTTACATTTGTGCAGAGTACTGCTATAAAGAACAAACTTTGCATACTATGTAACCAAGCCTGTACCAATATTGTTGCATAATCTGTTTGGGTTTGTAATATGATTATGGTTAAAAGACATAAGTAACCCTCCCTTATATGATCGTTAAAGCACTCATTGGCATGAGGTCTTGAGCAGGGGGCAGAGAGAGGCTCACTCATCCACTTATAGATTGGTCTTACAATCCCAGTCTGTGGTACAGGCTTAACCTCTGGCTTGGTTTCGTCCCATTCTTCTCTTCTTCCATCCAAAACCCCGTCAGACCGTGGTTCACTGAACCATTGTTAAATTTGCAGATGTCGAGACCCTACTGTACTCAATAACCATTCACAAAGCATCTCATTCTTGGATGTCATTAATTACATGTTGGTTTGACAATACATCAAATGATTAAGATACTTGAATACCCAGTACTTTACAACAGTGAAGTCTGTCGGCATGGCTTTTTTTAGGTGAAAGACATTTATTATTATGTGATACAAAATGGATTTGCTGAAACAGCTCTGTGCACAATGAATGAATAGACCTTGACTGATGGTGTAATGTACACCATGATACAAGCAATAATCCTGAAGAGAAATTAGTTTGATCAACTTCTAATAGGCTGTATACATTTTAGGAATAAGCAGTGGTTAATTCCTTGCTGATAAGCACAATGTTTTGGCTGTGACACCATAGCCTCCTGAAGAATATGTCACCTGACAGTTTCTAAGCAAACCACATTTTGTAACAATGAAGAAGTACAAACTTAAATTAATATAAAGTAAAAAAATGCAAAAAAAAGGAGAAACATAGCTTCTCTGCGATTCCACATGCAGAGAACAGGCTGTGATCGCTGTGTTATTAAATGTAGAAAAAGTCACTTTTAAAAAAAAAAAAGAAAAGGCAGGAATAACCAGAGTTGAAGTAATTTCTGAGAACATATAATGCAAAATTTAACAATATTCCAAGAATTATGATTCGATCAAAAGATGTAACCTGGGTTTGATGACCTCAAACCATTTCCCATACGGACACAATCCCTTCCGAAGCCATAGAGCAGGTCCTTTTCTAACCCTTTCATGTGGAGTGCCACACACACTCCTGCACCATGGTCCATTTCCCAGGTGACTTGATATTGTTAAAAATTGCAACACCAGCCTATTCTAAAGAAATGTACACGTAGCTTTAAAATAGGAATAAATTGGATGAAATTGCCAAAGGGGAAGTTAGAAACATATAGCTTTCTTTCCTCATTTTTCTGTTATATTTAAAGTCTTATTACTTGCTAATTTACTGTGTGGTAAATGTGCTGTGGCATGGGATCTCCTCCAACAGGAATTGCTCAGTGTTCTTCAGGCCTAATAGAGTGTTGGACAAGCCAGACTCCTCTGGGGCCAGTTGTTAATAGCAGTTACAGTGAGGTCTAACAGCGGGTAAACTAATACATACAGTAGCCAGTACTGCTTCTGAATCTCTTTCCTTGTTTCCTGACCATTTTCCTTATGTTTTTCTTCAGGACAAGAAACTACCCCAAGTACAGTGTGCTCCAACTGTGCAAGAACTGCAACAACGGAGAAGAAGTAAGACTTCAGTTTGGCTTAAAGATAATTCACATTATTTGTAATACAGTATTGTGTGAATGTGTGGTGTCCATATGCTTCGTTTGAGAATGCTTTACATATTTGCTGTTTCAGTATATACTGTATATATCTGTCTTGTAGAAATAATCCACAGTATATATCAGTATACTTCATATAACTACTATCAGGTTCTTATGGAAAAACTAAGAAGTCTTATATTCTTTGTGAAAATTGCATTGCACTTTCTCTAAACCAGGGGTATAACTATTATCAGGGCATCTGTATTGGGTTGAAGATTTTTATACCCCTTGCTTTTATATGAATTTGCCTTAAAGCCTTACAACAATTCCAAAACAGTATAAAAGGTATTAACTCCTGAAATATTAAGTGTGCAATAAATGTCGTGAAATATTTTTTTAAAAACCTTTAAAGTTTCAGTTAGAATGACTCATCACGGCACGCTCTTAACATTTAGTGGCTTGTATTTGACTTTGAATGACTATTTTACTGCTTCTGTATTGCATATTATGGGACAAGACTTAATATCTTAATGCACACTGATTTTAAAGTGGAGCTGGGAATTATTGTCATAATTTATCTTCATGACTTGCTTTAATTTAACCTTTATTTACAAGGATGGCTGCCCAAATTAAATGGGATGTATGCCATGACATTAAAGACGAATGCTATAGCTGCTAAATCAGGAAAATGCTTAGTCTGTCACTGGAACTGGTCTCACAGCCTCCAGTTCTCTATTCAAAAATATTTTTTCCTCTCCTCATTATATGGTCAAAGCTAAGCTGTTTGGCTCACTCTGCTGGAGAACTATGAAATCTCCCTGATTGTACAGCACCGAATACAACCCAGCCTTGCAGCCTGCACAAGACTGCACATTAGACGAACTCACTGTACTCGAAGCAGATTTGCTTGTTCACTGTATGAATCCATTACTTTACTATTATCAAGGTAGTTACAATCTGTCACAGTTAACAAAGAGGAAAAGACAGCTTTTAGCTAAATATTAATTCACAAATTCCTCTGAGCAAATTGTAGCAAGGGTCTGTTCATTAAGAACTAGGATCAAACTAAGATTTGTGAAATATATCAGTGTAAGGCAGTCAAGTACCTGTAGCAAGAAATTATTCCACAAAAAAATTGTGATTTAAAATATTATTATGAGCACTTTTTAAACAATGTAGTGGAGAACCGCTGTGGTATGAATCTAAATTAACTCCCATGGGATTCCCAAAAATGAATTTGGAAACGAACATTAACATGTCCCTGGTGCAGTTTCAGCTGGGCTTGGAGGGAGAACATTCTGCCCATTCGGCACTGAGCTCAGACGTGGGGAACGGGGACCAGCAGGGCTCCCCCACTGCTGCTGGAGACGCATCTCCAGCCCCGAGGGGTACCCCAGCGGACAGGGAGGTGCCTTTGGTGCCGACGGCCCTCCTGAGGCCCCAGGAGCAAGCAGAACCTGAGACCTGGGCCTCTCTTCACCTCAAGCCTTCTCCGGCCCTGAGACGGTCACTCTCCGGCGCTGCGACCCAGGCCACGCCAGCAGACTCCCTCCTGCGCACGGCGGCGTTGGGGTCCCGGGTACGGAACGTGTCGGTGGCGGGGGAGAAGGGGCGCCCCCGGGAGACTGGATTGCCGGGGAAAGTCCCTCACCTCGGGCCGGCAGAGCTGGGCATCCTGCTGGGCTGTGCGGCCGCACTGGGCATGGCTGTCACCACGGGCCTCCGGTACCTGCACAGCCAGTACTGCCGCAAGCGCACCGAGGTGTCCATCAGCGACCGCGACAGCAATGTTATCCACGTCCAGGAGTGCGGGGACCTGGTGCAGGTACGCAAGATCCGGCAGAACAGCTTTGTCCTGCTGGAGGCCGAGTACGACGTCATCACTCCCGTGGGGAAGTGACGGAGCTCAGCACTCACCTGGGCTTGACCACAAGATGCGCGACAGAAACCAAATAGTACACACCTTTCACGTGTCACAACCGTACCTGCAGAACAGCACAGCAGAGGCCGTGGTGGCTGATAAGGCTGGGCGAGCAGGAGCCTGAAGGAACTTTGACTTTACTCCTCCCTGCAAACTCCTTTCAGACGACACCATATCGATTAGAATTGTTTGGTCACTGTTTGAAACCAAAACTCCAAGCTGACATTTTCACACATTAATTTTGTGTTATGTTTATTGTTTTCTCTACTGGTTCCAAAAACAACAATAATATACTATACTTACTCACTGCTAGTATCTCTTGTTTGATATTATGTACTGTACTGTACTGACATTCGGAGAAATTCAGAGAGGCAGAAGATGTTTATGTTTGGGAACAAACCATTGAAATTGAAGGTGACTGTTAAAAGCTAGGAATCCCATCTTACAGTTAACAAACCTCCAACAGGTCTCATGTGCTGAACAGTAAGTCACAATGCCTAAAAGTGCAAAATCAAATACAATTGCATTTCTATAGTACTTTTCATCCCCAAGGATCCCAGAGTGCATCACATACTGGGGAGCCACTGAACCTGGAGAGATGTGCCAGCTCTGATGTGCTGTGATCTCCCTGCCAGAACTGGCCAAGCGAGAAATTGTTTCGCCAAGTGAGTTTAGGGGGACCTTGGCAGAGCCCAGACTGTGCCCAACCACAGAATCCTCTTATACTGCTCCTGCCCCCAGTTTACCAGTCACCACTCGTGAAATGTTTTGCATTTAACAGTGCTGTGGTTTTGGGGTGTTTTCTGATCTTTCATGCTGGTAAAAGAGCTGGTAAAAAAAAACTAGTTACAAGATTTGCTTTGGAATAGTTCTTTCCACTGACAACTACTTTTCTTTCTTTTTTCCTGAAACGTAATATAGGATACATAATGCGGTTGTTAAGTGAATTATGTGGGAATCGGAAAACACTAACACTTAAGACCAAAGAAATATAGTCACCTGCAAACCTTACTGAGGCATGCAGATAGAAAATGGATGGACGTTTAGACCCAGTGATGCTTGTACTAATTTAGTAGTGTTAATTGTCAATTAAAAAAATATAAATGGCAGCTTAATGTGTCATATACACTGGATGAAGGTGACAGTGTGCATGCTTTAGTAAAAGATTTATGAAAAAGAGATGCTATACATTAGTTTTGTAGATTAGACCCTAATCTTATAAAATGTAACTGATTTGTACATTTTAGATATTATGAAATATATTTACTTTAGGACGTAAACGTTTTATATGAGTTGTACTAATACAGTGATTATGTTAGAAGAAAAAAAGTTAATTCCCCATTTAAAATAATGAGACAGCAAATAATTATATTGTAGTTACAGCAATATTTTACTCATTTCTGTACCTTTTCCTTGGGAATAAAATTTACACACAAAGCTATTGTTTCAATATTGTTTTTATTGAACAAGACATTGCAATTTACTAAAATGCAAAGGATCTGGGTTGATGTGTTCATGTTTATAATATTTTCTTTGCAGATATTTTATGGAACATCCAGTAATCTTTGCATGACCTGTACATGCACTTATTCTGTGCTTAAAAATCTAATTTTTTAAAGTGTCTGTTATTCTCTCGGTTCATTTCCAGTTTTCTGCTATCCACTTGGTATAGTGTCTATATATCTTTATTGACACTACTTGAACTAAATTACTGTCTATACAGTAGGTTACGCAACAAAATGGACAAGGTATCTTTTAATTTCCAATATAAATGTACTAGTACAATATCTAAGTGGTTAAAAAGGCTACTTGGTATATGTTAAATATTAACTAAAAATATTAGCAGGAAAAAAACAAATGATTTGTGTGCTCAGATTAGGAGCTTGAGAGCCTTCTTTAGACTCATGAGGTTATTATGTGTAATCTATTTTTGAAATACTTGATAATTTGGATTATGTTTTACCTTGTTCCAGTCAGTACAAAGAAACCAGGAACTTTTAAAATTTGAATTACTATTGAACACCTCTCCAACCCCCACAAGATAATTCTCTTTTTTGTGTGGCTTTTGCTATACAGTATCTTGTGTGAATATACCTTATTCTTACTGAACATTCAACTATTTCAATAGTCTTTAGTTTCCAAACTCTTGAAAACGCGCCATAATACAGTAAATAAAATGTTGTTCAGTTAAGGTGTTGATAGGAATAGATTTTCACAAGGACAGATAGGACAGATTTCACAAGAGTGCAGAGATATTCTTTTGAAATATTATAGCCAACAGCACGAGTTTTGCAGAACCAATTTATGACCCAAAAATGCTTAACAACCTTTCGATTATTTCAAAATTGCCCACTAGAGGTCAGGCTTGTCCCAAGTATTAAAGTAAAAAGCCAAGCAGTTGGTGTACTGTACATCTGTAACTTGTGTGATGAGTAAATCCGGTTGTGAGAGAAACCTTTTGTTATAGATATATAATTAAGTGGGTATGGATGTCAATGAAATTAGAATAATTTGTAGCAGTGCCCAATATCTGTTTTTAAAGTATTCTTAACCCTCAAAACACTGTTTACAATGTTTATAATCATGTTAATTTGAATAACAACCGCTATTGAACAGAAAATCAGAGGAAACGACTACTTTATATTATATATATGTATGGTATATTGTATGTGAATGAATAATCACAATTATTATTAATAATTTAATTTTATGTATTTAGACTTCAGGGAACAAGAAGAGGCCGACTGCGAGCTGAAAAGCAAAAAAGAAGGGAAAAGAAACGGAAACAGGAGCCTTCAAATGAGGTTATGGAAGAGCAGATAGGAGAGTGAGGGGATGAGAAATTGGGTTTGAAGAGAGACATTTAGAAGACAAATACCAGGAGAACAGTGATGCCAGAAATCTGGAAATTATCTGCGAGATATAGAAACAATCTAGTTTTAAAAGGTAAGGGAAGGTGTGAACTTGGTTTACAAAAAATAAGTTTGGGTTCTGATGTCTTTCTGGTGTCTTTCTTCCCTTATGAAAGGACACAGACGGGTCAGATTAATCATGCCTGAAGGAGGTAAAATAAGGGAACTGTTGGCTGTTAGAGGCCAACATTTAATCCTCACTGCTCTGCCATGTCATAAAACCCTAATCCTAAACCACTCTTCTTCCTATCTCACCCATGTAAAAGGCAAGAGATGCCATAACAGATTTCTGAACAAACACAACGCCATGATGGAATGAGTTTAATTTTTCGTTTTTCTTTCTTCATCTCATACTCCTGCTCTTCCACACGTTGCCCTACAGGACGGAAGATGGCTCCACAGGTGACTCGTTTATTTCACAGTTTTCTTTCTTAGTGCGACATTAGACTCTACTTGTTCCTTTGCAGTTCCCTGCCAAGCCCTCTAACCCATGATACTGATCTACGATGTCATGAACACGTAAAATGGAAAATGACCTGATCTCAAATCAATTAAAAAATATTGGTTTTTTCATGGCTTTGCAATGTTTTTTTAAAATGTATTTTTTGTATGAGAACAAGTAATATGTTTATTCCATGCTGAAAAAAAGAAGAAAGAAAACACAACACCTGAAGAAGGCTCCACGGCCGAAATGTTGCATTTTCTTTCTTCTTTTTTTCAGCAAGGAATAAACATATTACTTGTTCCTTTGCAGCCTACGCATGCTGACGCAGCTACCCCCCTGAACTTATTTGTATGAGTATTTGTTACAGTACTTAATTTCAAACTCCCCATCAATGAAGTCACACATTTAATTTTTTGAGAATGCCACATTGTTACTAGTCCTGGCATAAAATGACAGTTTAACATTGCTCATCGCTAAACTATTATCATGAATTGTAGTCAATAATCAGTTCATAGTGAAATACTTTAATATTGTAAAAGTACTATATATTTCCTTTAATTGAAATAAAAACTGAATTGTTGGCTACATAATTTTCTACAAATTTATTTTCTCTTATAAGGATGATACTAATTATTGCACAATATACTGTACTACTAACTACATGAGTCAAATTAACTTCTTAATGGAAGTTATACAATTTGTATTATTCACTTATACGAGATGACATAAAATATTAAATATATATATGAACAACTAATATCTGTACTTGTTGATGTTTGTGTATTTTGCTTATTTTATAGAGAGACTAAAGAGAGAATAATCTGTTCAACACATTTGAAATACAATTCACTCTCACACACATCAGTGATTTAGAATCTTGCAACTTTTTATTATACAGTCTCAGAAGTAACAAGGATATGTCACTAACAGATAAAAAACTGAAGGAACACTTGCAACAAAATGACAAACAATTAAGACAAAAACAACAATACACCTGAAATCATTTGGCTTCAATATTTAGTTTGTTTGGCAGTCTGGGAATGCAATACAAACACATTTTAAAATGAAGGGAACAAGTTCACTTTGCTTTGTAACGCAAACTCCAGAGATATTCAGCTTTTGAACTGTTTGCCTTATCTGGAATATAATAAATGATACATTTCATAATTGTATGATGCTTTTAAGTATTATAAACCATAGAAATATCAATGCGTGAAAAATGTCACACTTGCATGAGAACACCTCAATACTTTTTAGGCTTTTGACAAATTTAGTCAAGTTACAATTTTAAGTGTAACTCAAGAGGTTATATCTCACATTGCCATTAAACATTTGTACAGTATATGACTAATAAATGATTAATGGTCCCTTTAGTAACATTTTTGCTGTTTAAAAGAAATGAAAGGAACAGAGAATAACACCACATTTCTTTAGTAAGCAGAGTCCCTCACAAGGTAAGCTTTTAGGATGCAAAGCAGCTCATTAGCCAAATATATTGTATTTTCCTGTTATTTACTACTTATTGATTTATTTGGCTGATATTTTTGTCCACCCATTTATACAACCCTTTTAAATAATTTATCTATAACTGTAAACAACTACATCATTAAAAAAAGATAAAAAGTGCCTTAAATGCAAGGACCCCAGTTTTTTAATATCAAAATTTTCAAACATTTAATTTCAAGATGACATATTTCTCACTTTCCCAATAAAGTTTATGATTAGGAAAACAGAATAAAAATAGAAGCAAACATTTTAAGACAACTTGGAAAACAGGAGAAGGGCTTCAAAATCCACAACAACATTAAGGATGGTTTTGAAGAGACGGGAGATGTGATTGCAGTTTTAATTAAAAAAACATTTTGTAAAGGGAGAAAAAGAAAACCTAAAGCAAAATAATTGATTGCAGGTCATCAAGTATCACACATATAGAGGCATATCATAAACTGTAGGAATATGTCCCCAGTGACAGTGTAAATACAGAAATAAATGTTAAATAAATTCACAAAAGTTTGAATCTGCACAACTTTGCCTTCTCGCATATTAAGATGAACCAAAAAAAAAAATTAGAAAAAAGTTAAACTTGGAAAAAAGTTTTAAAATTTGTGCCATATTTTATGAAAGAGAAACAACACAGTACTCTGTTGTGTAGAATGTTAAGATTCGGGTTTATTATTATGAGTTGAGACAAACAGATCTTTATAAATTTTGTAAGAACTTCTAGTATCTTCATTAAATCATGCGTTAGTATATGTTTTAATAAACCACAGCCCAGGAGGTTTATAAAATGTCACCAAATCCCAAAATAGAATTGCTTTGTTGTAATTCTGCAGCTTATATTTTATTTTTTATAATATGGGACTATTACTAATGTTGCTTAAATGTCATGGTCTGTGTTTGTCTTGTAACCACTCTCTGGTTCTTGTTTCTAGCATGAAGTGACCATAGGGACCATCTCTGAGATGAGTTCAGTATCATGAAAAATCTCTCCCTATGCTCCAGCCCAACACTCCTTATTTTTCAGAAGTATTTTCATTTTCTTGTTCACAAAAGAATATTTACAAACACTCATGTTGTCTGGTCATTGCAAAAAAGACTAAAACACATTTTCACTGATACTGTAGCTTGACTTGTGAGGAAGGGGGACCAACTCCTACATATGAGCCCAAGGTCAGGTATGACAAGCTTTTTTCAATGTATTAAGTGTAAAGTAATTATTAATCTACACAAAGAATGTTCTAAAACACTGTGAACTTTCAGATGTACAGTACATTATGAGATCAGCAATACTGTTTTTCTCCAACGTTGTCGTAAATACAAAAATAAAAAACATATTCCAGTAGTTATCGATTTACACAGCAGATACACTCCTTAAAGATGCAGAGCAACTCATAAATGTGCAAATTAAAACAGATTTTCATGTAACAGTGTGTGTAAAGCAGAAAGATGTGTTCTGGGTTCAGTCTTAACCAGATGGCTGATCTCGCAAAAAAAATAAATTGCTCATCTTTATTCATGTAAGGTGTTTATACAGTATAGTGGTATCAAAACTCATTCTAAACTAAATGTTTGTTAGTGTTTAATATATTTCCAGTACTTTGTGAAGGGAAGACTGTTGGTAATGGTGTGTGGACAGCGTGGAAATGTATGACTCATGAACTGCACTCATGAACTGTTTTTCTTACTCTCAGTGAACATTTTAAATACAATTTATTACAAAACTTGTAAACTAGCATTTCAAATCATTTTTCCTTATTCAGGTTTTTCTTGTCAACTGTTTTTAATAGTTTTATTTATTTAGCTGAGGTTGTGGATTTGGAATTTTAATGACTAACAATATTTATTTTCATTTAAAACAATTATCTGTATTGAGATATCCTTTTCAAAATATTTTTCACAGTGTCTTGATCATTCTGTCAACTTGCCTGTTGCTTGCCGAGCCAAAGCACCTCAAAATGAGAAAGAATTTGTCCTAAATTAAGTAGCATATATTCCTCAGGTGTGTTAAAAAGAAAACATGCAAATTAAGAGTATGTAAATTGAGAACTACCTGATTACCTCAAAAAGAAGTATAGAATATCACTTCAACTAACACATTGCATTTTAGTTTTATCATACAGAAATAGCCTAAGAAGGATGGCCCATAGTTTGCCAGTGGCTGACTGGGTAGTAACTGACTGTGCACTGTGTGTTACAGACAGCTACAGGCATAGGTTTAATGAATAATATGCATCTACTAGTTTGTGGATAGTTTCAGTCTGTGTTTGTCAGAGAATCTGAGTGAGGGAGTTGGTTTAAAAAGACCCAGGGTTTGGCTCAGGACACACCCCACATACCGATTTAATGGTTATATCGACTTATATTCAGCCATGTCAAGTGTATCAGCTACAGGATACAACCTAAGAGGGATTTTTACAACGACAGTTATCTGTGGAGAGGACGGAATTATTCAAGATAGTAATAATGATTATAAGAATACAGAATTACATTTAAATAGTGCTTTTCATCCCAAAGGGTTCCTAAGAGGTTTACTCCTGTTCACATTATCCATGAAAAGAGGTAGAATCTATCTCAGCCTTTCATCTCACCAGAAAAGCATCCTTTTGTGTTTGTGTGTGCTATTCTTTGGTTGACACCTGTAACCTTGCACACACCGCAGTAACCTCACTTTCTAGAAGTCTCAATACGGATTCCAGACAGGGCAGAAATTCTGCAGACCAGGACTGATGACGTGCGTATTGTGTAAATGTACCCTTCGTACAAAATGTGACAGTACAACCGACAGTTCAGCACTCAATATGCTTGTGTGGTGTATGGACCCAGATTCTTTCCAAACGTTGGCATCTATAGCAATTCTTTATTCTTGAGGTTTTCCAAAAGGTCTAAGGAAACAAAGGTACACTGGCAAAAGAAAATAAAAAGCAAAAAAGAACAGAAGCAATTTGATCCCAGACTGAAACCTTTAAAGGTCCCTGATCTTCCTACCCCACTAACATTATAAAGACAGCAGCAATGTACAGGAAAGTTCAGATACACACACCCTTTCCCTTTGTTAGACAGAATGAGCCTGTTATCCTCGAAAATGTATAAGGTAGAACTGCCAACGGACACTGCAGAACCCGAGCTGCACCAGAGCCATCAGGAGTTACCCCCCTGGGCTCCTTTATACCCCCATCAAAAGGCATTTATAGGCTGTCAGTCACCTTTACGCCAGAGCAGCCAACGGCCAACACTGGCACTGAATTACAATACAACACTCTACAGTAGGTACAATTTGTGAAGGGTAGTTGTGGGTAGAAGTGAAGTGGTATTCAGAGTCTTGCACAAAGGTTTAAATGTCATGTCTGCTTTTGGTGGTATTTATCATATCAAAGCCTTCTCACAGATGCACAGAACACCTTGCACAAAATTTAAGCAAAAGTTTTTTTTTTTGTAATAAGATATACTATACCCCATGATGAATTTCTGGACTGGTTGTATAGCTTTTATGTCAAAGCAGCTCATATTATATCTACGAATTATCCAGAATAAATGTATTTCTGTAATCAATTTAACCCCATCTCCTTGTTTTAAATGGGAGACAGAATGTATCACACAGTTAGAAAAAACCACAGGAGCAGAATTTACAATCAAACCAATGAGCAAAGGGGAAAACAGAGATTGAAACAAGTACGGAACTAAATTTTGAACCTCTATTTTATTCCTCCATTTTGGAGGAAAACATTCTGACAATGTTAATTTAAGCTGTACGATGGGGAATATTTTAATATTGCAGCTAACACAGCAGGAATAAACAGGGACTTTTTTAGGAAAAAAAAACTAAAAATGGATTAGAAAAATCTAAAACAAAACAATGTTAGTGGCCAGTCAACATCCTAGCAACTCATCATCCAAGAATCATATGAAAAAATGGACCTTCCCTGCTGTAATTGGAATGTTTGGTAAAGGTGTTTATCATCAGTTCAAACCCTTGTAAAATATATAGCAGATGCAGAAAATAAATCATGGTTGCACTCCAGTAACATATATGAAGAATATATGTTAAATTGTTTTTTCCTAGAGGCCAAGCAAGTGTTTAAAGAATAGTACTAAACTAATGTCTTTCAGTTTGAGGCAGATCACTGCACTGGACAAGGTTTGAAGATTGAAGCAGGAGACGGTTTTGAGGCCGCAAGATGTAACTCTTCTAAGATACAAAGAAGCTGTTTTCTGTAACTGGGATTGGGAACTTTGACATTTTTACACAAGAACAGCCAGAAGACAAGAGGGCACATGTCTGGAATCCACATACTGTGATATGTCCAAGACTGGAATATACTGTAAGCAAAGTCAATGGCAGCAGCCTGTTCTTGCACATGGAGGGCAGCCAGGCCTGTCACCCATGGAGTTGCAATCTTGTTAAATCTGAGAGCGCCCTTCATTGGTCTGTGTCCAACGCAAAGTTGATTTCCACTGCAGGATTGCTCATTTTCACTCCATCTCCTCAGGGAAATAGGTTTGGCATCTTTGAGTTACTTAGCTTTCAAGCTGATGAAATACATGCAGTGGCACTACAGAGAACGTATACAAAAGTGCCAAGCAGTTCTAAATGGGGAACTTCAGTAAAACAGATGAGCACAGGAAATAATGCATCTTATCATTGCGTTACTGTTAGTCTGGGCTGCTGTGTGGAGGAGACATGATCAGTAAACTTCCAACAGAATGTAGGTCCACTTGCTGGCAAGGCAGAACTGCAGAATTGTCATTTTAGAAAATTACATGAAATCAAGAACAGAGATAGCCATGGAAATAACAAATAAGTCTGCAGCTCTGCAAATTTTATTTCTTCCAAGCAGCAGCACTTTAAAGAGTATTAATAGGGCACTGTGTTCTTTCTTAATGGAACTCTTACTAAAGAGAGTTTTCTGTTAAGGTATTTGAGGCCCTCTAGGCAAGAACACATTAACCTATTTTAATACACCGCATGCTAAATGACATTATTACAGACTGTCTAGCTACCCTCAGATTTCCACTTACAAAATGCAACTCTTTGAGCTACATTATTTTCTATCAGTGAAAGAACTTTTGTGTTACAGGTTATATCAGCTACAATTCAGGGGGTTTGGATGGTATACAAGGTTTTCAGAGACGTGCTTATTTAGGTGAACTGATTTCATGACTCACATTAAAGGTCTTGTAAAAACTCAGGGCAACCATGGGCATAATATTTTGGGGTAAATGCCTCTACCTCATTCGGTCTATGGTGTTTTATTCCAACAACAGAAAAGCACATTGAGTGTGTTTAGCCAAATTCAGCTGGACAGCAAGCCAAAACTGTGAACTCTTTCACTTATATTCTAAAAGATAACAGACAACAAAAAAATAAAAAAGTATAGATAAAAAACCCACAGCTACATTCACCTAATTAGTCCATCACAATTAAGGAAAGCTTTAAATATTGCCATGGCAATTTAGTGTTGGACACTGACACACTGATCTTTGTCATTATAGTTTCATCCCTTATTTAAAAAAAATAGATTTATTTTTTAAAAAATTCAGAAGAATGCCACCTGCAGCACCAAACCTGTTGGGTTTAGGCAGAGACTGTGGTCCTGGATAGCTGTGTTAAGGCACTTGAATGGCAGTGTCCTTTCTCTCAAAAAGCCTTCAGCGATGTCGAGGTCACGACGGAGTCCTTCACCTGGGCCAGCAGTTCAACAAGCTGGTTCCTAAAGACTTCGGGTTCCTGTTATACAGGCTGCAGCTTAGTTAATTTCATTGCCTGCAAATGTGAAAACAAAAAGCACAAAAAACTGAGGAGTAGTGTTTTTAATTCAGCCCATCAGCATTCCCTTTCTGATGTGTTTTTTTTTTGGACAGGAACAGTATGTTCCTGCAGTACATGTGGACACAAAAACAACTTTTCACTGGAAAGGTTCTGCTTTACTGTACAGTATTTACATGTTACTGTCATTAGCAAATTAATAAACATTAGGTACCATCCTGTACTATATGTGCTTAAAACACAAGCTTTATTATAAAATAAATTGAAATTTAATAAAAAAAGTATTCCTTATTCCAGAATACAAGAAAAGAGGAATCTCAGCAATGTTTTATGAGAGCCCAGCTTGCAAGAGTGAAAATCTGCCCTTTTCACAGATTTCACAGGTAGGAATTACATCTGAATTTAACAAAAACTCTTATAGTGCTTGTTCATATAGCGAGGGATTACTGTATTTTATTACCAAAAAACACTTCGCTCTATTATTTTGATGCTAAAGCATCCTGCCTACTCGATACTCTGGAAAATACTGTTGGTTACTGCGATGATACTATGGCTGTGCCTGCATTAGCGGAGACATTTACCACGTTGATCTCCTCGAGGCTGAGAGGCAGTTCATAGGAAAATGTTTCGCACCAATCCAATATTCACTTAGATGACAAGGCTATCATGAAGCACGAAAGGAAAAATGAAAAAGCACAGTAATGCAAAATGATGACCCGTTTACCTGCTGTTACTGTCACACCACTCATATAGAACATCAGAGAAGTGAACAGGAAAAGACAGCACAACCCCAAAAATGGCCAGGCTGATTCCCACAGGCTGCTTGATTCTATATCCTTATGCATGAAGTCAATTCAGATACTCGCAGGTCTGTTTGTAAAGAAGCTCCTGCTTTTTACAGTCTTAAATTCTGAAAGTCCATTAGTGTTCTGGATACCTTTACTGTATGATTTAAAAAAAAAACATAAGTTAGTCTTACCTTCTGTCTGGTGACCATCCACGACTTTATGCTATGGACTAACACACTACCCAGGAGGATTTGTGTGGGGTGGTAGATCAGGAGTGGGATGGAGATCAAAGATAGGTGCTCATGGCCTGCAAACACGATCTTCATCATTGGAATCCCTAAAGACACAAGGAGGAGATCAGTCTACAAAATTTATAAGTTACCTTTTATTGACCTTGAAGCTCTATACCAATTACAGTTATCAGTTTGTTACAGTTATCAGAATGGACCATGAGATGTCTTTGTACAGAATAAGCGCACAAGTCACCTATAAAAATACAGTCTGTTAAAGGCTGAACTGCATGATCAATATAAATCCGTAAAGGCACATAGAATTTATTTCCCAGAGCATAAGTAGTGGGAATCCCAAAATGCAAACACAAGTCAAATGAATCTAAGTCTACTTACCATTACTGTACCTATGAGAAGTTGATGTGGATTATGGGTAATATGCAAATTAAATTGCTGTCGCTGATGTTAAAAAAGAGTAGTGCCTTAATAGACTTTTACTTTAGCTTCTTGTATTTTTTATCAAGGTAAGCAACCACAGAGCACTGTTTCTCATTCTGCTTGGGTTATAATGAGAAACCCTTCATTGACTTGGGCGTCAATGAAAGCAAAACTGTCACCAAGTATTAAAGGAAATTTGAATGTTATACTGCTATGGCCCTCACACCGTTAGGAGCAGAACTGTCTACAGAGGGATTATTCTGCTTCATTTATTATATTTAGCTTTAGATAGCCAGACACATAAATGAATAACAAGGGTTTCTAAGGTATAGTTATCTCACTTCTGGCTTTTTAAAACGCAGGTTGTTACAATAGTTTTAGTATAAATACTAGTATAAAAAGCCTTACATTCTATAAAACAATGTATACTGAGCATGAAAAGAAACTGACTACTGAGTACATGTAATAATGACGGATGTCGGTACAAAAGCACAGATGTGCAAAACGATCTGCTATTTGATGTGTACACAGACCTGACAACAGTCGCCGCTTAAATGTCAATGCAACTGCTCCAAATTAAGTCTTTTTCCTGGTAACTTTCTGGATTTGGTGTACAGGTAGCTGTAAGCGATAACATTCTTTTGACGCTCAGTGAACTATGACAGACACAGTGAGTTCTGAATCAGCGCCCACTTTGTGAAATAGGTAAGAACAAGCAACCTGCCTGAGTGGTTTTCTAGATACAAAATGTTGTTTTGGAAAAATGTTCATTTCATTGAAAAGTTAGGCAAAGTCTTCTAAAGTCTCACCTCTAACTATTTTTGAAAACAATCTTTAAGTAATACAATTAAATCTAACATGAGTTACTGTATTTTAAAATATAAAGAAAAATGCAAGAGCCTGGAGTAAAATGGTGAATTCATTTATATGCATTCTGTATTTTCAAACCTCTATAACCTGCCTTGCAATTACTGTAAGCACAATTAAGCACAGCTGAAGTGTAATGTTAACATATCACTTCTACTCCCATTTTTCATTCTTTTCAATACATTGTGTAGTTAACTCCAAAGACTTTTCCTGCCTCCTTCAGTAGTTTCTTAGCTTAGCTTTTAAGTTTGCATTGAAATGAAGACATAAACTGTACAGTATCTCAGCACAAATGAAATCCAGGTTTCGGGAGCAGAGCTAGCCAAATCAATCTTTCATCCCCCTTCTCGGGATAGCTTGTCCTTCTGTCTCCTGCAGAGTGAAGTCTGCTGAATGACAAGCCAGTTGCTGCCAGCCGAGGAGAGGATTCTGTGTTTGAAGTCTGGACTCCTGCCCTCTGAGCCATGAGGCCTAATGCCGCTGTGAAGCCTCCTACGAAGCTTTTAAGCAGCAGTGACCTTTCACCGGCTCTGGGTCACACATACTGTAGGTCATCAGTTGGTGCCATCCTGTAAAAGCCAGGATTAACTTCGTTGTCTAGAGTCTAAAGAGCTGACAGCGACATATATATATATATTAATATTTTTTCTTGAAGTGAATTTTAAAATATGTGAATTATTTAGTAACAGGAATTATTTATCTAATATTTATTCATTATTTATATTTATACAAGGAGCGTTCCATGGAGACCAGGTCTCATTTGCAGTCACAAATTTTGTAAACAGACAGCCACAAAACAGACAGTTCTTATTATTTAAAGAGACATCGATGTTTATCTTACGTGAAACACACCTTGAATTTTAATAAGATATAATCAATTTTTAAAAGAGTTTTTGACTCATTTATCTTTCAATTCATACTCTTTTTTCGTTCCAAAGGAAATCAATATCTGAACTGTTTGTTCCCAACATATTACCAGGACACTGGTTGGTAAGAGTGCTTGATGAGGGTTGGAGCGCCCAGAAGCCTATCAAAAAACCATGGGGTTGCAAGGTGGGAAGACATCTGTCTGGAAACAGCCATAAACCCAGCCAGCATATCTTTGGGAAAAAAGAGCACCTTCTGAAAGCCCATAAGTACATGCAAACTCCACACAGACAGGGCCTCTATGTGCAATGAAATCCAGGACCACAATGTGAATGTGTCTATCTACGAGAAATGAATAGTAGCACATTTTATATTTTATATTTATCTTATATCAGAGAAATCATTTGCAGCACACCATGACAATCATGAAGCATTTCAGAAATTTGCATGAAAGGACAGTTGTCAAAAAGTTTGCTATCCCACTCTTTGAAACTCCTCTTTGAGTCCATGAAACTACTTTCTTAATAGAGGATCAAGTTATGAAAATACAGAGTTTTTAAGGTCTTAAAGTATTCCTATTTAAGTGTGCTTTTTTACATGCTAAGAACTCCCAGCATGTTACCATTGTAACAGTACTGTACAATTCTTCCAAAAAAGCTTCACACTGGCTTGGGATGTTTTAAAATGTTTAGATCATAGAACAGCTTTTCAATGGTAAGCTATATTAACACTCTACACAACAGCATTATTTTGTCCTGGGCTGCAAGTCTGTGAACCCAAGTGTGCGATCATACCATCATGACAATACTTTTCTGTACATCCCTGAAGGATGAACAAAACCGGTTTTCAAAGAGAATAATGTAGAACAACATCATGCCAACTTTTTGATATATATTTTTTTTCCTTTGCATTAAAATTAAATAGCATATTAAAAAGAACATATAAAAGAGAAACTATAGTCGAAGATTCCGAAAAAAAGGCAATGCAAATGGACTAAATAGACATCATATTGCTGTGCAGTATTGATGAGGACAGAAAATATTTTTTTTTTATTTGAAAGAAAAATAGTCGAGGCCAAGTGATGCAAATTTCAAAGGAAAGTTTCACAGAGCTATCATGGTAGCATTATGACTCACAGATAAATTTTAATGCGCCACTCTATGATTCCGTGTCACTTCCTTTGCAAAGACCCAGTACAAGTCTTTTTGATGACATCTGACTTTATGGAACAGGCACTGTGCATGCATTTGGTAGGACTTAGAGCCGTTGCACTGAAAAATGTTTATGAAAGATTAATCAAAAATGTCTCTAATCTGCAATGCATTGTCTGAAAGATGTTATAAAGCACATATTGTAAATGGATTCTTCTTCTGACTAAAGTAATTTCCTGCAAGAGCCTTTCTCCACCAGTAGACAAGTACATAGTGTGAGTAGATGAAGAGCACTTTCTCAGCACATTACTACCTGTTCTGAACACTGGGGAAATCTCTAATGTACAGCAAGGCACATTTCCATGTCAAGCATGACACATTTGTCAAAAATTACCCAACAGAATTTGACATTGCTGCACACTCCATAAGGAGAGCTTTCAAGCGACATCTGCCAACAATGTTTAAGCACCAAGTTTCTTTTATCCTATACTCCAGGCGGAAGAGGTAAAACAATAAGGACTTCAGTTCTTCATAATATTAGATTTCTAAGCTCAGCTGCAGTTTTGCACTGTTATAAAGAAATAATAGTGTTCCAGGGATTGGGTTTAAATGTCAGGTTTGGAAAAAAAAAACTTTCTGTAGGGGGCTAGAGAACCTGACTGCTCTGTCTGCTTTTCATCTCGAGCTACAAGCTCGACAGAGATAAACATTACCAGTCTCTTGTGCTTTTAGGAGATGGCTTTGAAAATATACCTCCTACTGAAGCAAAATAATCGCAAATTTCAAAAGCTTGACTTCTGAAATCTGTATTTTAACCATTTAAGACAACATTTGATTTATTTATTTGCAACTGCCCCAGGGATAAAAGTACACTATATGACAGGGAAGTGAAATGGACCCATTTGACTGTCTGAAATCACATCTAGACATTTTGTGTTCTTTTGATCTCAGGTCTGTTTGTCTTTCACTCATAAGCATTTGTAATTTTATTTTATCACAGGAACTTTAACAGTATGGGAGCAAAGAAGTAAACAAGTCATTTGCACTTCAATGAATGTTACACTTTGTTTTTTTCTTAACTTATGAAAAAAATTCACTTCCGAGATTACAACAAACCCCATTTTAAGATCCCCCCCCCCAAACCCAAATTATTCACTGCTGTGGTGGCTTTAAATTAATTAATTAAAAGTGGATCTACAGTAAACTGACACAACTGAGACTTGCAGAGACATCTACAATCCCTGCTTACGTTTTTATTAGACAAATATACAATGCTTTGTTCGATGCCTGTTCTGCAAATAAGTTGTTGAAACAGGATTTAGTTAGTCATTCTGTGTCTAACTTGGCAACCAGACTCTACAATTCAACCACTCTAAATTAGCAGCAGGGTACCACTGAAGACGACTCAAGCCCTCACATATCTGTACACAAAATAGCCCAAATGGTTGACTGATACCTTAACTCATCAGCAGCCCTGTTGTGGCTGCACCGCTAGTACCACATAATATTCATCTATAAGCCAAAACGTAAGATCCATTTGCAGTATTCATCTTATTATTATTGAATTGATATTAGTTTTGCTTGCCCGTGAAAGTCATGAGAAGTACCACTACATTTTTCAATGTACTTTTAAGCACTAATGCAAAATTCAAAACTTTCAAAATACCATGAACGATTAGGAGTACTCAGGAGAGTGTGACAAGAAAGAGATTTATTCTGCCTGCAATGTTTTGCTCCTTATTTTCACATTTCTGGCTGGAGACTTTGAATTCATATGCCGCATG